TACGTACACCGCAGCCAGTGCTGCACCAACAGCAGCAAATCAGCAGCTGGTTTGCCGCATTTAAAAAGCACTTCGAAGCACTTCAAGCAGCAGCAACAGCAGCATCAGCAGCATCAGCAGCAGCAGCAGCAGCACGGAGCCCAACAGGCTGCCTCTCTCAGCGCTGCTGCAGCAGCAGCTGCTGCCGTTGGTGCTGTTATTGCTACGTGAGGGAGAAGGGTCTTGAACACCTGACTGCTTCTGATCTCGCTGCTGCGGCTCACGCTGCTGCAGCAGCTGTTGCTGCTGCCGCTGCTGCTGCTGTCATTGTTGCAAGCAGCAGCAAGTTTGTCTCTCAGGCCCTCTGTCTCGTTTGCTGCGAGCTGTATATACTACACCCGGGAGGTTATCGCAGATCGGCTTGCTGCTGCTTCCGTGCAGCTCTTGGGCGACCGCACCAGCAGCACCAGCAGCAGCAGCAGCAGCAGCAGCAGCAGCTGCAGCTGGCGTCGCAGTTTGCGGTGTCTGTCCACCGCGGAAAGATGGATGAGGGTCTCGGTGTACAGGTTGAGCGGCCGATATTTTCATTTACCTCTCCTAAAGACGAAGCAGAGACGCATTTTGTAGCAGACGTGCAGCAGCAACAGCACCAGCAGAAGCAGCAACAGCAGCAGCAGCAGCAGCAGCAGCAGCAGCACTCCCTTCCTCCTTTTACTCGCACATGTCCAATTCAGGGCTGCAGCGGCTCCGGGGTCGCATCTGCTGCTGCTGCGGCCCCACAGGGGCCCAGCAGCAGCAGCAGCAACAGCAACAGCAGCAGCGACGTTGCTGCAGCAGACATCTGTTTTTCTAGGAATGTTAAAGGCCTGTTGCAGGAGCCTCAGGGTATGCCTCCAGGCTTGAGGCTGCTGCTGCTGCTGCTGCTGCTGTTAATATGAACGGGTGATAGTTTATTTGCTGCTTAACTTGCATAAAGCAGAGCTGCTTCGTGCGGCGTTTTGCTGCTGTTAGTCTACTCTGCTGTTGCTGCTGCTGCTGCTGCTGCAGCACCTCACCTATTCTTGCTATGCGTTTTACCTTGCAGCAATTCAACGGCTGGATGGGCAGCAAACGCGCAGCAGCAGCAGCAGCAGCAGTTGCTGCAGCTGCAGCAGCAGCAGCTGCAGCTGCTGCTGCCCCGAGCAGCAGCGGGAGCGACGCCTCTCTACGGGCTGCTCTACAGGTGTGTGTGTGTGTGTGTGTACTTCTTAAGAATATGCTGCTGCTGTTAATGCCGCTGCCTCCGCTGCTGCTGCTGCTGCTGCTGCTGCTGCTGGCACAGCAGCAGCGGCACGTGGTGAGTGGTGCTGCACCGTAGCTGCATGCATGCAATATGCTGCATGCATGCATTATCTTTGGGGCTTTGTTCCCTTGATGCTTTCTGGCAGGCCTCGCGGAAGCTGATGTGCAGCAGCAGCAGCAGCTGCAGCAGCTGCTGCTGCAGCAGCAGCAGGAGCAGCTGGAGGCTCGCGGCGCAACCCAGGCCCGACTGCTAACGACTGCAGCAGCAACTGCAGCAACTGCAGCAGCAGAAGCAGCGACATCAGCAGCAAGTGCTGCTGATGTCTGCTCTCCTGCCGATCCCCGCAGCGGCGTTGCTGCAGCTTCAGCAGGTATATAAGTGTACATACACCCCATTGTATATTGTTTTGCTGCATGCATGCAGCTGCTGTTGTTTGTTTGCTTCGTTGCTGCCGGCTGCTGTTTGCCTGCTGCTGCGGGTGTAGCTAGCAAGCTAGCTGTACTGCTGGGCACCCGCTAGCTAGATAGCTAGCTAGCTAGCTATGTAGTTAGCTAGCTAGCTAGCTAGCTAGCTAGCTAGCCAGCTAGCTGCTGCTAAGAAGTGTGTTCGGTTGGCGTCTCTCTGCCTTGCAGCGCTCTGCCAGCCCTCGGGCCCCACAGCACCGCCTCCAGCAGCAACAGCAGCAGCAGCAGGAGCTGCAGCAGCAGGAGCCGCTGAAGCAGGAGCTGCTGCAGCAGGAGCCGCTGAAGCAGAAGCTGCTGCAGCAGAAGCAGAAGAAGCTGCTGCAGGAGAAGTCGCTGCAGAAGAAGCAACAGCAGAAGAGGCAGCAGCAGAAGCTGCTGCAATGTCTTCTGCTGCAGCAGAAGCAGCAACAGCAGCAACAGCAGCAGCAGCAGGAGGACGTCAGGCTTGGGGAGTTCATTCGGTTGCCTTTGCTTGTCCTGCTGAGGACAGCAGCAACGGCAGCAGTACTTCTGCTGCTGCAGCAGCAGCAGCAGCAGAAGCAGCAGCACCAGGAGTTGGTGCTCAGTTGAGCATTGAAGGGGCTGAGGGGGAGGCAGCAGCAGCAGCAGCAGCAGCATCAACTGCTGCTGCTCCGGCCTCCTCTGCAGCTGCTGTTGCAGATGGTGTATACACCGGTGAAGCAGCAGCAGCAGGAGATGGAGGAGACGCAGCGACAGCAACAGCAGCAGCAGCAGCAGCAGCAACAGCAGCAGCAACAGCTGCTGCTGCTATAGATAGGAGACGTCATCACCGCAGCGGGAGAGCATTGGGGCGTTCGCGTAGCCATCGGCACCACCATCACCGCCCTGCTGCAGCAGCAGCAGCAGCAGCAGCAGGTGCTGCGCCTTCAGGTGTATGTACAGCTGGAGACAGCCGCCGCAAAGCCGACGGTAGAACACCGCCAGCATCACGTAGAGGGAAGTCGAGGAGACGCATGCACAAGGGTAGAGATGGAAGGCGGCAGCAGCAGCAGCAGCAGCAGCAGCAGCAACTGCAGCAGCAGCAGCAGCAGCCGATACGGCTGACATCAGAAGTTCTTATGCAGCTAGAGACGCGAACAACCAGTAGGACCTGCATGCGGGCATGCTGCCGCTTTTTATGACGCTGCTGCTGCGCTGCTGTTTGTTCTTGCTGCAGCAGCAGCAGCAACTGCGGCAGCAGCGATAGTAGTAGCAGTAGCAGCAGGAGATGTAGCTGCGTTTGCTGCTGCAGTTGGTGGTACTGTGTGCTGCTCTTCTCCCAAGTTGTAGTGTTGCTGCTGCTTCTGCTGCTGGTGCATCTGCATCTGCTGCTGCTGCAGCAGCAGCAGCAGCAGCAGCATAGGTATGAAGAAGCTTCTGTTTGTGTGGATGTCTTCTTTGTTTTGTTTAGGGGTGCTTGATTCAACAGCAGCAGCAGCAGCAGAAGGTTTAGGCGGCGGCAGTTCTTCGCTGTCTTTCTTCTGGCACGTTAAGGAGACAGTAAAAGAGAGGGCAGAGACAAGAGCAGCAGCAGCAGCAGCAGCAGCAGCAGCAGCAGGAACAACAACAACAGGAGCAGCAGCAGGCAGCAGCGAGCGGCTGCGTAGTGGTATAGAGTGTGGGGATGGTGCGGGTCGGAGCAGCAGCAGCACTCCTGCAACAACAGCAGCAGCAGCAGCATCTGCAGCAGCAGCTGCAGCAGCAGCAGCAGCAGCAGCAGCAGAGGATGAAGACTGCAGCAGCAACCAAAGCCAGCGCAGCAGCGAAGTCTCTACTAAGGGGACAGTTAATCACAAGTGCAGAGATGACAGCGCGAGAATTAATTTATGTTTAAACCCTTCAGACCTCTGGTACGGTTTAAGAAGAGCTGATGGAGACCCGGTAGTGCTGCATGCAAGGAGGAGACACCGCAGCAGCAGCAGCAGCAGCAGACCCCACAGACTCAGAAGGCCTCCTCTTATCCCCGATCCAGCAGCAGTTGCTGCAGCTGCTGCTGCTGCTGCTATCGCACACCACCAGCAGGCTGCCGCTGCAGCAGCAGCAGCAGCAGCTGCTGCTGCTGCTGCTGCACGCATGCACAACCATCACCACCATCCAACTGCAGCAGAGCAGCAGGTGCAGCAACAGCAGCAGCAGCAGCAAATCGCAACAGCAGGGGCAAGAGCACAAGCCGCAGGAGCGCCCAACCAAGGTGATAACAACACCCAACAGCTCCAGCAGCAGCAGCAGCAGCAGCAGCAGCAGCAGCAGCACAGACATCATCGAAGACACCGCCACCGCAGCCACAGAGACACTGCAAGGAGACAGACAATGCGGCGCTCTTCAACGCAGCTGCCTCCTCTTGCAGTTGATGTGATGTCTCCTCCTCCATCAGCGCAGCAGCAGCAGCAGCAACTGCAGCAGCAGCCGCAGCAACAGCAGCAGCTGCAGCAATTGCTGCAGCAGCAGCGCCAACGGGGTCCTGGTGCTGCGCCGTGGCAGCAGCATCAGCAGCAGCAGCCGGGACACCAGCAGTTCGCTTTGCCGCTTCAGCAACAGCAGCAGCAGCAGCAGCAGGCGCAAATCCAGCAGCAGCTACAGCTGCAGCAGCAGTTGCAGCAGCAACAGTTATTGCAGCAGCAGCAGTTGCTGCAGCAGCAGCAAGATCGGAAGAGACGACATAAAGAGCGCAAGCGAGGCCGATCTTCTTCTTCATCTGCTGCTGTTGCTGCTGCTGCAGTGGCACCACTACCGGCTGCAGGAGGGCTGCTGCAGCAGCAGCAGCAGCAACAGCAGCAGCAGGATCTGTTTGGAGCAGCAGCAGCACAAAGAGACTGCAGACGCCTTGAAAGGCGCCGCCGTCATCAATCCGCTTCAGCAGCAGCAGCAACAGCAGCAGCAGCTGGAGAGCAGCAAGGGCTGCAGCAGAGGTGTAGACACCTGGAGCGTATGGTGTATGTGCATGCGCTCGACCCTGCAGCAGCGGGCCTCAACAGCAGCAGCAGCAACAGCAGCAGCAGCAGCAGCAGCAGGGCCGCGCCAAGAATACCTGCAGCCAGCAGCGCGCAGCTGCCGGTATCGATTGGGTGTCCCTTGAGAGGACAGACTGATCCTTTTGCTGCTGCTGCAGTTGCTGCTGCTGCTCCTGCTGAGGACACAGGTGCAGCAGATTCTTCTCTCAGTAACCCCGCAGGGTGGGGGAGGCTGCAGCAACAGCAGCAGCAGCACCAGCAGCACCAGCAGCTGCAACATCAGCAGCATCAGCAGCAGCAGCTTCAGCAGCAGCAGCTGCAGCAGCAGCACCAGCACCAGCACCAGCAAGCAGCTGCTGCTGAAACAGCGCAGCTCTTTAGACCTGCGCGTCGTCCCCGCATAGAAGATGCAGTATCCGACAGCTTCCCTGCTGCTGCGGCTGCTGCAGCAGCAGCAACAGCAGCAGGTGCAACAGGACAAGGAGGCTTTAAACTTCCTGCACCTCTCGCCTGCTTCCAGAAGGTGAGGCGGAGGGCAGCAAGGAGACAGGCTGCTGCTGCGGGTATTGTTAATATGGCTGACGCTGCTGGTGCTGCTGCAGTTCCTGCTGCAGCTGCAGCAGGAGCCAGGCCTCCTCTCGGCAGTAGCAGCAGCAGCAGCTCCAGCACTCTTCAGCAGCAACCCCTGATGGGTAGCTACAGCAGCAGCGGTCCAGGGGCAGTGTGGGGGCCTTGGCCTCAGCAGCAGCAGCTGCAGCAGCAGCAGCAGGTACTGCAGCCGCTGCAGTTGCAGCAGCAGCACCAGCAGCACCAGCAGCAGCAGCAGCAGCAGCAGCCACTGTCGCCTCCTGGAGTCTCCCGCCCCGTTCGTTCGTACGGCGACCTCGAGGTAGTGGAGCGCCTTGCGCAGCAGCAGCAGCAGCAACAGCAGCAACAGCTGCAGCAGCAGCAGTTGCAGCAGCTGCAGCAGCAGCAGCAGCGGTGGCGGATGGGCAGCAGCGGCCCACCGGTATTGGGTGCCGAGCGAATGACAGCAGCAGCAGCAGCAGCAGCAGCAGCAGCAGCAGCAGGTTACCTCGGGGATGCAGCAGCAGCAGCAGCGGGGCCTCTGCTGCTGCCTCTGAAGATGAAGCAGCAGCAGCACCGGAAGATGACGGCGAGAGAGCGCGTGCAGTGGCAGCTAGCGAAAAGCAGGGGGATGCTGTAAGCAACGCATGCAACCCCCCCTTGCTGCTGCTGCTGCTGCAGCAGCAATCAAGCTGCAGCAGGAGCTGCAACCGCACAAACCGCAACAGCAGCAGCTGTAGCTGCAGCAGTAGTTGTAGCTGCAGCAGTAGCCGCAGCTGCAGCAGCAGTAGCTGCAGCAACAGCAGTAACTGCAGCAACAGCAGTAGCTGTAGCAGCAGAAGCAGTAGCTGCAGCAGCAGCAGTAGCAGTAGCTGCAGCAGCAGAAGCAGCAGCAGCTGCTGCTGCTGCTGCAGCAGTAGAGTAAAGATTGTATCTGCGATTTAGTATGGTTGGTTGTCTTTATATAAGACAAGTGCTTTTAATAGAGAGAAGGAAGAAGAGACAGTTAAATTAATTTGTCTCCTTCTGTCTCCTACGCTTATTATTTGTCGCTTCTTCTCTCTGTCTGTCTGTCTCTTATTTTATTTTCTCTCTCTCTCTTGTTTGTTTGTTTGATCTGCTTATATATGCTTTATCTCTCTTCTCTGTCTAAATAAATAAATAAGTAGAGAGGCTCTCTCTCTGTCTCTAAACTTTTTTTGTCTCCAGTAGGAGATGTCTCTGTCTCCAATTGAAAATGTGTCTGTCTCTAAATAAAATAAACTGTCTCCTTATCTCTAAATAGAATAAACTTTCTCTCAGTCTCTAA